TTAGGAGAACTATGGGGAAAAGCCCTGACCCCATAGTTCTCCTTTAAGGATTTTTAGGCGGATTATGCTTACCTTTTGGGTCCAGTGCCCTACCTACATGTCTCCTAAACTAACAATCAGGCCCGGCGCTACCGCAAGGCAAGTTAGGCGGCCGCCTGTACTTGTCAAAATGCCCAGATGTTTGCGCTATAGTTAGCACGGCACCTCAGGCAGTCGCCGGCCAGCTAAATTAGGACCCCACCTGGAGCTCCTCCCAACGGACCAGCGCTGACTCGCCGCTGCTCTCCCGCGCCACAGGTAAGTGGAAAGAAAAAACCCATAGCGCAAACATCGGGGCATTTTGACAAGTACAAGTACTTGTCAAAATGCCCTGTTTTTACAGGGGGTCGGGGAGGCGCAAAAATGCACCTTGCCTGTGTAGGCAACAATGCAGAACAAGGCACAGTATGCCATTAATGGAGGAAGGATCAGCTGCAGGGAGACCACATGCAATACTAGGAAATAGTTGTTTGCTCTCTGTCTGCCTTTTTTTTTGGGCACAGCTTCCAAAGTTCAGTTCCTCCTTAATTCTAAACAAATAGCAAAGCTATGTTGTCATCCATGCAGCTAGGATTATTTCCTGTAATGGGTCTTGTGCCTATGTTTAAGACTTTCAAAATCTTCTTGTATCTTGCCATAGCAAAATTGCTTTTGAAAGTGTTATACATTCATATTATATTGAAAAAACCTCTAGATTCTAAACCATTGGCAATACTATGATTGACATAAACCTAAATGTGTTTACCTTTCATGAATACTTTTTCTTTCTCTCTTTCTTTCTCAGACAGATTACCAAATTCATTTGTCTGCCTTGTAATTGTATACAATGAACATATGGTTCTTTAAGAATTTGCATACTAAAGCCAGGTCTTTTAAGATTTCAGAAGACTCCTGTTATTTACAGAGGTCAGTGCAGCTTGTTTTCTCATCATTAAGTCTCCGTTCACACCTAGGCAACAGCGTTTTTGCATGTTTTAACATGCGTTTTCGATGCAGGTTTTTGTGCGCATTTTGCAAGTTTTTGTGCAAAAATTAAGTCATGCGTTTTTGTGAGCAGAATGTAATTCATTAATGTTAATGAGCATACGAGGGTAAAACGTGTGCAAAAACGAGCAAAAACACAGCAAACGTGAGTTTTTAAAGCGTTTCCGATTAAGTCTATGGGGCCAAAAACTAGTTGTAATATGCCAAAAAAAAGCGAATTTTTCCAGCAACAGACATTTTGCTTATTGTGACGAAATGCTCAGATGTAAACAGGGCTATAGAAATTAATGGCATTTTTTTGGGGGGGCATATTTATTGAGTGTGTTGTAGGGCCGAAAAAGCGCTACACCATGCTCAGTGTGAACCAGGCCTAAGTCATTGTCAATGAGTGTAAACTATGGCTGTGACACCTGTCCTGAGAGAGTTGCCTTACCATAGCACTGCATGTTTGAGTACAAATATGGACTTTCTGATAGTTGTTACTTTTGTTGCATAAACCTGCACATTGCCTTCATGTGGCAATGCTCAAATCTTAGGATAGGTGACTCAGACACAGAACACTGCATTATGGGATGCAGGAAAAGAATGAGGGGCGATGTGATGAGAACTATAATTTAATTGTCGGGCGCCGCAGCTCCTGATATTAATGCGCCGGCCCGAAAGTGAGGAAATAGTCCCCTCTCTCCCCGGGCCATACCACTTTATCAGAGAGCCCGGGGGAGGCCGGGAGAGAGGGGACAGTTTGACATTATGGAGGTTCCACAGGCTGAACCACAAATTCCCTCTCTAGTTCTTTCTAATGCAGATGGGCCGGTCTATGCAGACATGACGCCGCGACCCACTGCAGAGGGTGTCGCGACCCACTTTTGGGTCGCGACCCACGAGTTGAGAACCACTGCTCTAGACCAACATTTGTCATCCAACAATATGCTTTAGATAGTTCCCTGAACAATGTGTACCTCATGCTCTTTACTTGGAACGAATAACAGTAATGGGAACAAAGTGAATGATCCAGAAAATAACAAAGGAAGTAGAATAACAATCTCGAACTTGAGCCTTCACCACTTATAAAAGGAACAATCTCAACTAGTAGCCCTTAATGTATATCTACAGTAAAGTCAGAACTTTTTTTATTTTGGGTAAAGTGAGGAATAGTTAAAATCAGATGTAGTCACTGTTCAGGTATTCAGCAGCCATGGATACAATAGTTGAATACAATAGCTGGCTGGGGAGATTCCTTCATCCTTGCTGAATCAATTGATTTCTCTTATTCAACCTGTGGGGCTCAGCAAGAGATATCTAAAATTATATGGCCAGCATAAATGCTCTAGACAACAGGAAAGTGGTTACTTCACTATTTATCAGATTAGGCCAGACTTTATCTTCCAAAAATTGGCCTGTGGGTAGGGTAAATGTGCAGAGTTCTCAGAAAATGATGGGTGATAAGAGATTTCTCATAAGAAATGCAACATTGCTAAAGCTGGCCATACACTCTGTGATTTTCGTTCAGGAATTTTCGTTGCTGCCAAAAACCCTAGTTCGATTCTAGCTCAAATAGCCCATCAAGCACATACAAATGTTGTTTCGATACTCGCTCGTTAGCAATGCTAAATCACCGAATTTCGACGATCGACAGAACAGATTTTCGTTTGCACATGTGCAGTGTTGATGTGATTTTTTTTCCGTACGAAAACGCCACTATTCCATCAATTTTCGTACGATGAAAAAAACGTTTTCCAGCCTCACCATTCAAGAAAATTCGGGCAGGAGTACAGTAAAAAACATCGTTGGGTTCCCATCAACTGATCGATTATCGTTCGAAAGACCGTTCGTGGACAATTTCTGAACCATAATCGATAGGTGGCCTGTAGACCCACAGTGACTTTTCTGGCAGACTTGACAAAATATATGTCAGTTTGCTGTAAAGGGGCCACTCTCTGCAATTCTAAAATTTTCAAGGGACCATTATCGTTAAAGGGTTAGCCCAAGCATGACCCGATTATTATTAACTTTATAGGCTAAACGTTTGTGGATAACTCACTATAAGGGTCCCCACACACCTTACGATTATCGTACGATAATCGCGGGAAATCCCGCGATCGTACGATGATCGTAAGGTGTGTGGAAGCCGTGCGACCTATACTACTGTAAGGTCGCACGACTTTAAACTTACGGATATGTTTGAAAACCCGCCGAGCATCGTACGATGTTCGGCGGGTTTGTGGCATGTCCGTACGATAACAGCCGCACGTGCCGGTGTGCGCAAGCGCACACTGCCCGTTCGGCATTGCGGTCATCGGAAGCCCGCCCCTCAGGGGGCGTGGCTTGCGATCATCGCAAGTACGATCTGCCTATGCAACATAGGCAGATCGTACGTTTTTTTAAGTACCTTACAACCATCGCAAGACAAAAGTCTTGCGATGGTTGTAAGGTGTGTGCCCAGCCTAACACTTACAATTCTATGCCTGATGTGGGCACACCCCTCCTAATAATTGATTTCAGGTGTTTCCAATAAAGGGTGTTGGTAATGCTACAACAAATATATTTTTATACAATTGAATGCTTCCAACTACTGTATGTGGGAACAGTTTGGGTCCTTTTCTGTTCTAGCATGACTGTGCCCCTGTGCACAACACCAAATTTATGAAGACACAGTTCGGCAAGCTTAGACTGGAGAAGCTTGAGTGCCCTGAGTGCATAGAGACTTGACCTTAACCCAACTGAACACTATTGTGATAAACTGGAATGCCGTCTGCAAACCAATACCTTCTAATCCAACGTACCTGACCTCACAAATGCTCTTTTGACTCAAGGGGTACATATTCCAACAGATGCACTCCCGGGGCAGAAGAGGCTGCGGGGACCGATCTAGCAGCCAAACGGGACAGATGAGTATTTATTTTTAATTTTTGCCCCCTAGACCAAAATGAGCACTTACCCCTTGCAGTGTGGGGGTAGCGGGGGTTCATTTTTGAAAAAAAACTTGAAGTTCCGCTTTAAGCAAATCTGAACCCACAATCATTATTTTTTATTGTGCATAGAGTAGATAATGGTTAAAACCCTATCAGATTTTTTTGTCCCATTGGAGAGATTTCCCTTCACCTTCTGTCCTGTACATGTAACAAGAGCGAGAGAAAATCTCACCAAAGTCAGGGAAATGCCCTGTTTAGACAATTGTCAGAAGAACATGTGTTCCTTCTATTTGTCCTGGTGACTATTATAACCGAGAGTGAAAATCCAAAATTCGGAGTTGTCAAAAAAATAATTTCCCCTCTATTGCTCTTTTGATGACAACTCAAAATTTTGGATTTTCACTCACTTCCTTTTTCGGTGACAATAGTCACAAGGACAAATACCTAACATGGCAATACACAGCATAAAACCTGTTAGAGATTCTAACTCCTCACCACTCCTCACCAATTATGAATGCCATTGAGTGGCTGCTGATAATGTTTGATTTCAGCATGCCATATTAGAGATTTATTTATGTAACAAGAAAACCGTAGCAATCTAAAAAAATAAATATGTCATTGAAAATAATTATAATGAAAGAATGTGGGCAACAATTAAGGCACATTCTATACTGTGCCACCTATCATATATAGTATAGTTTCACAAATTAATATCAATCCACCACATTTCTTTTTTAATAACACATTTTAATATTAAAAGTTAATTGTACATGTGTTTTATAAACCAGTTGCATAAAATAGACCAGTTATATGAAAGCTTTGTGTCTTTTAAGGCTTTGTCACAGTAATGTTTTTACTGTTTTCCCTCATAAAAATAGTGCAAATTGTAAAAATACATAATTAGAAAATGGTTAGTTCAGTACTGGTACTGGAAGGTCTCTTGCAGAAGTGGCTTTGGTACAAGTCATTGTAGATCTCCAGTAGATGAAAGAGATCAATACAAGTCCATGTGTTTCTCAGGCAGATTTGAAGGTTGAATCCATGGAAGACTTTGCTGCTCTCTTCAGACGTTAATCTTATTTATACAAGATCTTTTAGCTCTTGAATACGTGTGAGTGAAGAATCTACACAAACTTGTAGATCTATTGCAGATGTGAGCGATGATCGCCTACAAATCGTAGAAGTCATGAAGGTATTGTCATACATTTAGTACAAATCCTTGTAGATTTCTTGCAAGAGTGGATGAAGGTTCATCTCGGCCTCAGTTTTCCTTATAACCTGCAATAATTGAACATGCTCTGTCACCACTTGTCTAAGGTCTGTCATCTTCTGGAGAAGTTTAGCAAAGAGCTGAGAAGAGTCTGGATGGTTCATCTTAAGCTGTAGCTCCAGGGCTTGTAGCAAAGTGTCTTGAATATCTTCTATGGGCTTCACATTCAACAATCCAGGACGATCTAAAAACATAGAAAATTGAAGAACAATGACTTCAAAATGCAATTATTATGTTATCTCTTTGCAAATCGTGCCCAATTATAGCTGGACTGTAGGTATATATAAAATACACAAATTAAGTAATTAGAAAGATGTCTGTATTGTAGGTTTGGTTTCCCCATGCGCCTCTGCTTTTTGGGCTGTCCTAAACTAGGGAGCGCTGCTGTGATTTTGGTAGGACTGTTATTTTCAGGTCCAGCTACATGGAGCACTCACAAAGAAAATCTAGGGGATTCATTAATTCAACCACGCTCAGTGCTGGCATTAACCTTGGATTTGTCATAGCTCATACACGACCTCTGTCTCTCCATTCGCCTGTCACTACGGCTCAGCCGAGCCGAAGCATATGGGTTTGGCTCGGCTGAGCCACCCAGCTGCTGTACGAATAGTGAATAGTCCGACAGAACCGTAGGGCTCCGGCGACCGAAGTGAGTAGAAGGATCAGCTGAAGCTACGACTGGATCCTTCGGCTCATTCGTGAATAACTCTCTAAAAGTGTAAAACCTATATAACATCTGAAGGGGTCATATTTGTTTTCTAAATAAGCAACTTTTTAATCATGAAAAGTTTACATTTACCTCCTTCCACTAAAAATAACACCAGATGCATCTCTGCATGCTGATATAAAATCATCTAACATTTAATTGTGAAACAAATATTTTTTGCTTTTACTTATAATCACAGGTTTTTTTTTCACTTCCTAGTTGAGTGAGACACTGGTGATCTAGTCCTGGCCTCACAGATCCTGGGAAGGCTACATCACCTGGTGCCTTCCTGGGAAATCTCATCTGTAAACTGCAAAAACGTTCAAGATCTGGGGAAAATACATTTTCTCCCCTAAATAGAAAAAAAGTTTCTGTGGGGGAAATCTCTAGATTGCTGGATACCAGTGGATATTTCAGCAACATATGGTATTTTATAGGGACTATTTATTTTTGTCTAGGTCTACTTTAAAAATATTATACCATGTACCAGCCTCTTCAGCAAAAAGCCAGTGTTATAATGGAGGGCACACACCTTACAACCAACGCAAGACTTTTGTCTTGCGATGGTTGTAAGTAGGGATGCACCGATACCGATACAAGCATCGGTATCGGTGGCGATACCGAGTATTTGCATGAGTACTCGTACTCGTGCAAATACTCCAATACATAAAAAGAGTAACTGTGCCGCGTCCGCCATCTTCAGGGACCCGAATCCGCCGACCCGAAAGTGTAACACATATGGTTGCTTCCAGACAGTGGCACAAGCGGAAGGCAAAGTACGCTCTGATTTGTGCTGCCGGTTGGATAGCTGATAAATATCAGGAGTCTTGTAAGCTGAAGCTGAGTTTGGAAGGACAGGTACCCTGTTTCCCCGAAAATAAGACCTACCCTAAAAATAAGACCTAGTGCTATTTTTGGGAATTCTTAAAATATAAGACCTACCCTGAAAATAAGACCTAGTTGTGACCTTTCCCAGGGCCGGTGGTGGCAGAAGGGGAAACTTGGAGAGAATCGGCGATGCCAGCGCTAGAGGAAGCAAGGCGGCATCGGAGGGAGCAGAGCCACACAAGCCACATCCCTAGTTGTAAGTTAATTTAAAAAACGTACGATCTGCCTATCTTGGACAGGCAGATCGTACTTGCGATGATCGAAAGCCCGCCCCACTTAGGGGCGGGCTTCCGATGACCGCAATGCCGAACGGTCAGTGTGCGACCCGTGCGGCTTTTATCTTGCGAACATGCCACAAACCAGCCGAAAATCCTACGATGTTCGCACACCTTCCACACACCTTACGATAATCGTACGATCGCGGGATTTCCCGCGATTATCGTACAATTATCACAGGGTGTGTGGGCACCTTAAGACTGTCCAAGTTCAGTGGCATCAGACCTTTTAACTGTGTTAGCAGCCTAATAATCAAGAGCTGATTTCAAGCACCCGAGAGAGCCCCTGCTTGCTGTACTATTCATATGTGTCTATCCTTGTTATGCCAAGCATCACAAAATGACAACTCCTTAATTGTATAAGGTTGCTTTAAAAGTTTTTGTAGGGATAGACAGCGATAGGTAGTGTACAGCAATTTATGGCATCCTTCCCAGCTGTTAATTTCATATGCCCATAATTTTAGGATCTGCTAGTAATATGTCTAATTTACCATAAGACAGCTGCCTGCTACTGGAAATTTATCCTAACAGATGATATTTTACTAGGGTGTGTACAGAATGACATTAAAACAATGTATAACTGTACACAAATAAAAGTGTCTACATACAAGTCTGTAGAGTTTACATTTTCATTCCTTTATTTGCCCCATCTGTTTGCCTTAGGATTAGAAGAATCATTTAAAATATATCAAGAATTTTTATAGAAAATTGGGTTTAGTTGTCGAAGCAACTCCTTTCACACAACACCAGAATGAATCAGCCACTGATATAATAATAGATGGGTTCTTGCAGAACTGATATAACGCAATACAACTGCATTTTGGTGCTGCGTCATGCCCCCTTTCCCATGACATGTTTCTGCCCTGGCACAGAGTTTTTCTTAACTGTCTAATTTGGAATGAGGTTGTTCTAATACTCATCGAGGTCACTGCTAGCAAACATCTTCAACATTCTTCAGTTCAGTAAACACTACCAATGGAGCACACTGTGCTTGTCCCTAATGCAAAAGGCTGCTAATGGCCATAGTTAAATAGTCTTCCCATCACCAACAGTCATGAAAGACTTAAAGTATATGTAAACCATAACAATTAACTTCTCTTTGGTCTGTTTAATACACCATTTATAGTGTTTGTTATATCTATTTGATAAATGAAAAACCACCCCAAAAACTGTTGATCCTGCCCAAAATCTTGTGAGATTGTAATGTCCTCTGCTTTCCACGTCTGCTTACTGTTATCAGTTATCAATGTGGACTACAGAACACCTGCCTTAAAATATAGAAGAGACGGTTGATAACCGCCCTCCTTCATTGATACAGTACAGTGAATGCGCGTTATCAACAACAGGAAATGTGGGATAACCAGGTAAATCGTGGGATAACCAGTCTGATAAGGAAATCTAATATAGTCACCAAATCAAAGGACTGATAAGCTGATATATATTACATTATATTTTAGGGGTTTAGATATGCTTGAACAAGACCTGTGAATAAGTGATTGCATTAATTGCGTAATTGGCATGAGACCCTTGACAATGCTATGAGAAATATGAAGTTCACTCATAAAAAATATTACAGTTCTCTACTTTTTTCATGATGGTTGGAATGCTCCTAAGAGGCAGAATGATGCCATCTGGATATAAGATTTTAAATGGTCAGTCTTGTATCCTCAACATACAAATGTAAGAGCAAACATAAGACGTACTGGCTTTTCTGATGCAAAGGTAATACCTACTCTGGTGAAAACCATCTACGAAGGGATTTTCCTCACTTTAGAGAGATTTCGTCTCCTTGTTGTGTCTTCTTGTTGGGTCTACACTACAGGACGTACAATTAAATCTCCACAAAGGAACACTGATGAAAAAAAAAAACCTGACAGGGGGTTGACCACTCCTTACTCAATCCAAAACTAGAACAAATATGTTTTGTCTTTGCCTGACAGAGGTTCTGACTCTTCCCCACATCAGAACCAAAAAAAACAAAAAAACTTCTTGTTTTTTGTAAAGATTGATTTGCATCGAATTGGAGGTACAATGCACAGCAATGTAATTCTTTTAATTTGGATCAGGTACACAGTCTACTTTAAATTTGATCAGCATGTTTAAAATAAAATTTTGACTCTGTAATAGTGAATTAATCACAAAGAAACCGATAGAAAAATAATATATAGACATGATAACAACACTAAGAAAAAGGCTGACAATCTTAGGCTTATGAGCAGTGGTAAGTAAACTGGCTTGGGTTCAGTACACTTGGACATTCACCAAACCCAGCCAGAAATCCAGGTTCAGTGAATGTCCTACTACACTGAACCCAGGGCTCCTCATGTCTTAGCAACCAATGACACAGTGCGACCCATACAGTGTCACTTGTCGCTAGGGTGCTAGCGGCTGGACTGCACAGCATTATTGGTTAATAGGACGCAGGCAGTGCACCATAACAATCGATGATGCTGTGGAGCATCCAGCATCTTAGCAACCAATTATGTTGAGCGGCCTACACAACAGCACTGGTTGCTAAGATGCTTGCTTCCCCAAGCAGGTTGTGATGGTGTGCCCGACGGCGTTCTAGCAACCCATGATGCTGTGCAACTCAGCCAATGACTAGTACGGGTTTTGCAGGTTGGCAGACAGGCAAATAGGTAAATCATTCACCTGTTTGCTGTTTGATAACTGCAAACATCTTAGATTCGGGTTGAGCTTTGTCAAACTGAACCCGCAGCTTATCCCTACTTGTAAGTGAATGCTAATTCTTAGGCAGGAAAGCTGGAACTATTCAGCATCACTGCAAGCCTCGTCACCAGGCCAAAATGCTGCAAGGAAGCAAGCAGCTCAGGAGTCTCAGAATGGCAGGACCCATCTACAATGGCGTTTTTTACAGATTCTCTTTAAATTCTAAAGACTTTAACTATTTGAATATACACATTCCTAAGACTTATGCGATGCAAGACATGATTATATTATATAGTACTGCACATGACATGGCATTTCTTGCAGAGTCTATAATCTACCACTAGACCTGGTTTGAACCTGCTGCATTTATATGGTCTACAATTACAAGAAAATCAACACCATAAACATATCCTCAGATGACATGGCTTTCATCTTACGTTTACTGGGAGGTTACACTTTAACCAATCTACTTTCTCTGCCTAACACTGATGCCAACTATTATAAAATCTCGACATAATTGAATGTAGCTGAGCACAGTGCCTCAAAGTCCTGCCTAGTTCTAGAGAAACACTTAAAGGAACAGGGAGAGCAGGCAAGGGAGTGAAGGGAAGCACATAGGACATCTTTTCATCTGTGTGCAGTAAGGTTTATGTAAAACAAGTGTATGTTATCTGTTAACTGTGTGGACTACAGAACCTGCTATGAGAAAAGGAGGTTTTCTGTAGTTCTGTTCTAGGGTGGCAAAGCTATTCCTCCATAGATACAGTACCGTGAGTAAACACTGTCACCCTAGTACAGGAAGTATGTTTCTATCAGGAGTAGTAGGTATAAATAAAGGAGAGACAAGGAATCTAATGTAGAAATCGTATCGTAAGGACTGATAAGCTGCAATGTATTACATTTTTTTTCTTCCTGTAAGGAAGCCATACAGGCTAGATGGTAGTCACCTGATCTTGCCAGTTTTGATGGGATCAAGCACTTCAAGGAAGCCATACAGGTTAGATAATAGTCACCTGATCCTGCCAGTTTTGATGGGATCAAGCGCTTTAAGGAAGCCATACAGGTTAGAAGATAGTCACCTGATCCTGCCAGTTGTGATGGATCAAGAACTTTAAGGAAGCCATACAGATTAGATGATAGTCAGCGGATCTTGCCAGTTTGGATGGGATGAAGCAACAATCAAGTGGAACTCCAGCCAAAGATTTTTTTAGCCCTGAATAGAGTGGGGAATAGCTGTCTGTGTCCCCATAATAGAGATATTTTCCTTGACATCCTGTACCAAGAGCACAACAGAAAGTAGTGGAAATCTGGAAAGAGAGGAGAATTTCCAACTTTGGCAGTTGCCACTGGAACAAGTGATTTCATTGCAATACACCCTTTATATTGAAGCCAATGAATCCACATGACTGTGAATTGTTCTTTTGACAATTTCCGATTAAAGAACTCCAGGCATATGAAATCTTGCAGTGGTGCTACCCTACCCCTACCAACCCCCCTGCAAGGGTTAAGTGTTCGTTTTATCCAGTTAGCTAAAATGACAAAGATATATCCATCTGCACCTTGGAACCAGCTGACTGTTAGACCAGTCCCTGCAGCCTTGCTCCTCCTCCACTCCAGCAGTGTAATATCCCTAGGCGTCCTCGCATCCAAAACACTGTATTGGACGTGATGAGTTATGGGTTGTTAGGCCGCCGGAGCGAAGGGGGAGAGAGGCTGTATAACCAAGTAATTTCTTGTCGAATATTGTAAGAAATTTGAGAAGTTGCTCATGTGCCATGATAGTCATGTTCATAATGGCTAAACATGCTTCTATGTGCATGTGATTTTATGAAATGTATGCTCTTCATGTATTCTGTTAATGTATAAACTTTTATCTTGCTCAACATAATGGGGGTGATTTACTAACCTAAACACACGCACGCACTAGGTGCGTGTGATTTTTACACAGCAAAACGTATTTATCAACCAAAAAGTCTCTAAAAGCCATATATGGAAAAATCATGCACATGATGCATATATAATGCTGCTTCACAGTTTAGACAAAAATGGTTAGCTCATGCATTTACATTCCTGCATTCATCAACGCAAGCAACACAACATAGAGCTAATTTACACAACATCACCTTGCAAATTCATGCAGGGCTTTGCACAACACACCTGCTGGGTGTGTACACACTACAAAGGTGTTTAGATTCCACCCATAGATCATGCTGGGAGGGAACACACTACAGAGGTGTATACATGTTCATGGTGTGTTTATAAGGTTAGTAAATCAACCCCAATGAGTTCTTACCGAACATGTAAATAGAAAATATTAATTCTATATTTTTTTTTTATCAGCTTACATTTGTGAATAACAGAGGACAAAAAAGGGTAAATTTGTCATCCATTCCAGTAAAAATAACTCATCATTGGAGAAATACAGAGGCCGTCATTGCTGAGGCTGTCAACCCTTAGCAAACATGCAGATGAGTTTTAATTAATTTTTTAGGATGTGTTGGTTGCATTTGTTTTCTTTTTAAAGATAACTACATTTTCTGCAGGTACAGAAAAATCCTTCCATAAATCCAGTGAGCTTGTAACTTCCTATGCACTCTCAAGCTGTTATGTCAGCCCTGCCTATTTCATGTAAGTGGGCTACAGAACATCCTGCCTACATTACGGAGATGAGGAGAGTAGGATATGTTCTGTATTTTCTAACTTACTTCCTGTCCTAGGATGACTTAGTTGCTCCTCCATAGTTACAGTAAACCCATTCCCAGAGAGGGGAGGGGGAAATCCTTGCGGGGAGCGGTGACTGAATAGGACGGAATAGGAGGAAGCAGCAAGATTGCTTATACCATAATGTCTTTCACAACCCACTATGGGGATTGATTTGTGAGCTGTGACCTCTCTTAAGAAGAAACTTTAGAGTCATTTGCTTCTTCATGTTGGGACTGATGGGACTGATTTGATGTAGCATTCCCTTGTAGCATTCCCCTGATCTCCAGATCTTCAGTGTCCCAACGCTGGCCATGTTCAAGAAACACCTAAGCTGGAATTCATACCTAAAATATGTCGTGGAATATACTCTGGGCCTATATAGGCAACCTCCTTACTTACTAATGTCAATGATGAATTTTAAGAAGATCAGCAATAGACAAATTAAGAACCTCATCACAGACAGCACCTAGATGAAGGCGCCTGAAACTAGATCATATTGAGAAGATCTCGAGAGGAAATAGGAACAGGGGTGCAAACTTGATGTCCAATTTAGGGCATGTCATAAGGAATGTCCCTGAGTCCCAAGCACTTAATGTTTATTAACATCAAAATCATTTTTTTGTACTAAAATTAAATTCTCAAATCTGACACCTGAGTAGAAAACAGATGAATCCTCCCATTTTCAGTTCCTTCAATATAACACTAGTATTATCTAGTCACCCTAATAGGGTCCTAAATGCAGAAAAAGAGGGTAAATGGTCATGTTGTTGCCTATTACGATACTCTGGGTAGAGATCACTTTTTACTATAGGTCGCTCTACTTTATATTTCAGTATAAACAGAGCAATGATGATATGTAAAGTGTAGTAACCCATAGCAACAGTTGTCAAGCATTTCATAACTGCCCTACTACAGTAAAACTAAAATTACTTGATTGATGCATTTACTTGGGTTACTGCATTTAGATCCCTACCCTATATACTGACTTACTGAAGTAGATGGGTGATTTCTGTTTTCAATGGAAACCCCTTTCAAATATTTTTCTGTTATCACATAACTTGATCATTTTAATACAGCCATGTGACAAACAGATGAATTAAACAGTTTTTTTCTTCTTCATGAATAATACAAATAATTTGGTATTACACACAGTACACATCTTACCTCCGCTAAGTATGATGACAGCTACGAAGATGGCCAGATCGCTGTCGTCCAGTTCTAGTGCATTAAACCTAATAGCAAATTCAAACTTGGGCTCCATAAACTCAGAAAAAGGTTTTCTCAAGCTCTTGAGAAACTCCCGGGTCATGAAGCCTTGTCCATCCGCAATGAGAACGCCGTCTTTATTCATGAGAGAGGCCAGCATTGTAAATATGATCTCATGGACGCCGTACTTCAAGAGAGTTACTTGGTCATTCAGGTCCAGGCTGACAAACCCCGGGATATTTTTGGCAAATTCAGTGATCTCCCGCACAGCTTCCACAGAACGAGACTGACACCTCTGAAATATGCGAATGGCAACCTCCTTGTTTTGCTCCACGTAGGGCGACGGGAAGTATTGGCATTTGATCTGATCCTCTCCCATCATCAGAGAATTCATATCATAAATTACCACAGGCTGAAGAAAGAGATACATGCCATTAATGTACATATTAATACAATATAGACTCACACACTTCATATGCTGGAATAAAACTTCCCTCGCTATTACTGCCAATAACTGTCCTGTCTTCTTAAAGGGAGTGTATAGTATTTTAAATTTTTATTAAATATATTTTAATAATCTTGTAAATATATATATATATGAGTTTGCTGACTCACTAAGAACAATGTGCCCCTTCTATGGATAATATCCTATCTCAGCAGTTGTTTAGCAGGTAGGCTATACATAAAAACTCAAAATGTGTACTCTCTAAATTTGCACCATACTGCATTACACTAGCTGTGAGGAAAGAGATATGGGGCTTAAAAAATGCCAGGTTTCTGGATGTAATACTGACTTATTGGCTTAAGGATGAACTCTGGGGAAAATTATTATTAAACCTTGCAGTGGGGCTACCCCAGAACTACAAGGGTTAAGTGCTTGTTTGTGTCTAGGGAGGAAAATAACAAAGTTATACTGACTTGATCCTCAGAGCCAGCTGGCTGTTAGATTGGTCCCTGGAGCCCCTCTCCCCCTCTGCTGATGTGGTCTAAGGTCCCGTAAATCATCATCTTCTATACACACCATACCATCGCTGCAGTGGAGGAGGAGAAAGGCTAGAGGGAACTCTGTCAGAGCAGGCCAGCTCCAAGAGTATATCTTTGTTATTGTCCTCCCTAGACCAAAACATCCTATCTGTGAGTGAAGATTGACTTCTCCCTCTTCCCCTATATTTAACCCTTGCCGTGCGGAGGCAGACCCACTGCAAGGGTTAATAATAGCTTTCCCCAAAGTTCTGCTTTCAGTTTTGGGGTTGTTTTACTAAAGGTAAATGGGCTATTCACTCTGCAAGGGAATTTTCATTATTTTCCCGTACACATGATTGGGTGGCAAAATGAATTTTCACCTAATTCCCAAAGTTAAGGGATATTTCCCTTGCAAAGTTGACTGCCTATTCACCTTTAGTAAATCAACTTCACTGTCCCAGAACAAGTAAACAGATCAAGAAGATAAACAAGAGTCAGTAGACCTAATCTGCATAACTGATCAGTAATTCAAGGTTTTGTAGCAAGAGGTCTAGTATGACAGTCAGTCACAGAGCATGGCCATCATGCTGACTATCTGGCTTCAACACCTTTAGTTACAAACCCACAATGCAGATAATTCTGTTTTTTCTCTACCTTTCCTGATCCGCATACTTGGTCAGTGATTGAGAAGGTATGAGAGCCAATGGGGTTGATTTACTAACCTTATAAACACGCCACGAACAAGTATACACCTCTGTAGTGTGTTCCCTCCCAGCATGATCTATTGGTGGAATCTAGACACCTTTGTAGTGTGTACACACCCAGCAGGTGTGTTGTGCAAAGCCCTGCATGAATTGCAAGGTGATGTTGTGTAAATTAGCTCTACGTTGTGTTGCTTGCGTTGATGAATGCAGGAATGTAAATGCATGAGCTAACCATTTTTGTCTAAACTGTGAAGCAGCATTATATATGCATCATGTGCATGATTTTTCCATATATGGCATTAGTGGAAATATGCTTTTAGAGACTTTTTGGTTGATAAATACGTTTTGCTGTGTAAAAATCACACGCACCTAGTGCGTGTGTTTAGGTTAGTAAATCACCCCCAATGGGTCAGCATGATAGCCAGGCTAGTGTTTTCAGAAGGAGATCATAAATGGCAGTCCTGATATTTCATTTAAAGATTTATTTTAACGTTTATTTTAACTTTTAGATTAATTTTACTTAAAAGGAGAATTCAATCAGACCTGTGGCACTAAAGCTGTCACAGGTCGGCTCTATTAATTGGGGAGTCAGCGAGCACATACCGCTGATCACTGACTTCCTGATCCTCTCCTTGCAGAGAGCGGTGACTGTCAGTCACCGCTACCCACAGGGATTTCCCCTCCCCTCTCCGTTCCTCCAGCACTGACTAGAGGAATGAAGAGGGGAGCGGGCGGGAACAGCTGTCAATCAGCCAATGGGTGGATCTCGACAGTATTGTCGGGATCTGTCTCGGCTGCCGCGCGGCTCTGCTCCCTCAGCATATAGCAGGCAATAGCCCTCTACATACTGAGTTTTGGGTCCGGAGGACATTAGTATATGTTCTCCTATGACCCTGAAGAGAACTGTGGCCATAAAAGATTGAACCATAGTTCTATTTTAACTTTAAAGTATATTTAAAGAGAAATTAGACAAATTATTATTTCTATTTTTTTTGCTGTCTGTTTCTCATAAAGATGTCCCGTCACCTCCTGTCCTGCAAATACAAGAAGTGAGTGGAAATCTCTCAAAAGCTATTTTTTGGGGGGTATTTTTCATCCCTTTCTGTCCTGGTGACTGTGGCAACCCCAACAAATAGAGAGGGTGAATCTCCTCAACGGGGGCAGAGACAGCATTGAAAAACCTGACAGAGGTTTCAAAACGTCCGTACTCTAAAAATATAACTTGGCTTTAAATACACTTAAAAAGCGCTTTCTATCCATAGCGATAAAAGGTTACTGACTCACAAAAATAATGTATTTTAGTAATGCTAACATAAACCCTATTGGTTCAGTGTAAATTGTAATGGCTCACTTTAATATTGACAGAAAGCCTCTTTACTTGCCACAGTACAAAATATAAGCTGATGATTTAACAAAGCAAATTGTCTGACAATTGGAGTGAGCCTAGAGTTAATATTTGTGGAAACTGAAAACTATCAATATGGTCTGTATGCTTAGAAAAATGTATCCTCGTAGGTCCATCTATAGCTTATATGTCTGACTGTTTAATGTACGAATATTATTAAAGTGAACTCCAGTTGTCAGACAATTAACTTTGTTGAAACAGCAGCTTACATTTTGTACTAAGGCAAGTAAACTTAGGCTTACTGCCAATATTAAACACTGGATGTTATTACTGAGTATTACAATAATTTATTACTTATTTTTGTTTTTTTGGCATGACATCGTCCTCTCTATGGTCATCCTTCACTGATGACTTTATGAATTTGGACTTGCCAAGATGTGTACAATACAGACAAAAGAAAGATGACCTTCTATATATCTATATAAGTCAATAGCAGTAAGTACAATTGTTTTAAATGCAATCTCAGTAAATGATTTGCACACATAACGCCCACTCACTGATTTGTCTGTTGTCCTTCCTGTCAAAATGGCTCTTGCCTTGGCTTTTGTTAAAGGGAAGGACTTGAGATATGAGTCATACAAGTGCTTGGCCAGGACCCGTTGATCGGCGCACTCTGGATTCAGCTGGTCGATGTCACTGGAAATCTCAGCCAAGAGCTTCTCCTTCTCAGCCTGAGGCATCCGTCCAAACCTGATAGCTACAAAACAGAATTTTTGTGTTACTGGGGCCGAGATTATTATGAAGGGAGTCGCCATGGTGCGATAAAACACGAATAAGCTGTCATAAAACATGCAGTAAATGCAGTCCAATGCATATGAATGCTTCTCATTTGGGGGAATATTGCGGGTCATAAACAAGAGGAATGTTTAATGAGCACTGCAAGTTAGACACACTTTGATGGATCCCATCTTGAAGTTTTATGATTGCGTCAAGCAGCAGATAATAGGAAATAGTCAGCACTTTGTACAAGAATATGATGTATAAAAATGCAGGTTGTGAAACATTTAAAACCTCAGAGCATCAGGGACCCAAATGACTGCGATATTTATGCTGGATGGAAAGTTATATAGCCTATCACAAAAAGTCACATGATCGACTCAGAACAGATAAAGGCTGTAAAGAAGTTTTATCATCTTGAGAAGGGCTTGTGCACAAGGGCTTCAGACTCAAAAGCCAGTTATTCAACTTCATCAACAGTATCACTTTGTATTGCTTTAACTGCTGTTGACTTGCTTCAGGCTCCTTCTGAGCTCCTTTGAGCTACTTCAGAGCGTTGTGAGGCAGCCTGAATTTGCTTCTGAGATGCTTCAAGCTACTTTTGCATTCACATTGACTTGTATGAGAAAGAAAAGCAATTCAGAAGCAGATAAATGCCCATTTACACAAGCCCTAAATTGGCCAATTCGTACTTTAGTGATGGGTTAATGCACGATACATTGCACATGAATCTGCACTGCATAAAGGCACCCCTTCTTTATGAATGGGCTGCCAATGCACTGCAACAGACAAAAAAATGCACCTGAGCCACTTTTTGTATATACATGGTGGTACTGTACAGTGTGTTGGGGTGCCTTTCATACTGAATTGCATTGCACATAAAGTAGGAGCTTAGTCATGTATTTGGGTAACACACACAAGTGTGAAAAAGGCCTTCAAGTGAGATTGTGCTTTGCTTATGAATGGATACATCACCTCAATCTTTAATCTTTAAACCACCTCACTTAATCTTTAAGCTGAACCTAACCCCAACAGTAAATTTAAATGTATATTAAAATGCATACTCTATATACAGTATATTGCAGGATTATTTCAGCACAACACAGGGGATTTCTTCATATTTCTGCACATAAAGTCTTGTAAACCAAATTTGTAATTTCTGTGTCTTTCAGGCACCACATCATCTCTCGAGGGGCAGAATAATAGATTTTTATGAATTTATTACATAGATTACACGTATGCACTCTAAAAGGGCTTAAAGGAGAACTATGGGGTTAGGGCTTTTCCCCATAGTTCTGCTTAGGGTAACGGGAGGACACAAACTAGCGTCCTCCCGTCACCCTAAGCTCAGTATATGCTATAGCTCGCGGTATAGTGAGACGCCGCAGCTGAAGCGGATCCACGACAATTATGTCTGGATCCGCCCAGCTGCGTGAGTGACAGCTTGCTCTGCCTATCTAGAGGCAGAGCCAGCTGTATCCGCCCCTCCCACGTCTGTTCCACCAGTCAGCGCTGGAGGAGCGGGGAGGGGGGAATCCAGCCCCTCCCCTGTCACGGCAGAGAGCCGTGACAGGATCGAGAGGTGAGCGAACGCCGGTATCTGTTCGCTCACCTCCCGATCTACTGAGCCGACCTGTGACAGTCTCATTGTCACAGGTCGGCTAGAACTATGAGGTGAGTGAAAAGCACTCACCTCATAGTTCTCCTTTAAGAGGGATATGATCACAATGTACAAATATATCAACGGTGAATTTGTATATGCTTACTCTAAGGTCCCTGAAGAAGACACATGGCCACAATTTAAGGTTGGAAGAAAGCAGGTTCAACCTTAGATTGTGGAAGGGGTTCTGTATTTAGAACAGTGAAAATATGGAACTTCTTTCCTCAGGTATGGTACTAGCTGAGAGTGTTGAGAAATGTAAAAACCTTTTAGATGTCTTCCTCAGGGAGCATACAGGACAATGGGCATTGTGTAGACTCTAAATTACACACATACATAGATTGAACTGCATGGACCTGTGTATTTTTTTTAACTTTATCAACTATGCAACTATGAATTGATGACCTCCTTCTGAAAATCCTATCTTAGCAGTCTTTGGGGCCATCTGGGTTTAATGGCTTTCAGTGAGCTTGTCAAGAAAGTCGGAGAAAGGTCAGAAGTCCTGATCTGCATACTTGTTCTAAAACAATAATTCACAGTATTGTAGAATTTAATTGCTGATTTCATTCTTGAAAATCCTATCTGCTTGGCAGTTTTGGGGGTCATCTGGGGTTAATGACTTTCAGTGAGTTTGTCAAGAAAGTCGGAGAAAGGTCAGAAGTCCTGATCTGCATACTTGTTCTATGCCAATAATTCACAGTACTGAAAAATTGAATTGCTGATTTCATTCTGAAAATCCTATCTGCTTGGCATTTTTTGGGGCCATTTGAGTTCAGTACTCTATGACCTTCAGTGAGTTGGTCAAGAAAGTCAGAGAAAAGTCAGAAGTCCTGATCTTCATACTTGTTCAATAATTCACAGTATTAAAGAAAGAAGATAAGCATAATCCATAGGCAACTAGCATTTAAAGACAGAAAGGATAATATTAGCAGCCTCCATGTTTTCTGAAGACACGTTCCCTTTTTAGTTCTCTGCTGAATTTAGGCACTCCATCTTTTCCAATTGATTTGTAATAATACAATAAACAAAGAGAATTCAGGATAAAAAAAGCCCCCCAAAAAATCAAATTACTCGTGTGGGATATAATAAAATATTCTGAGCAATGCTCATTGCTGTAGTTAGGTAACAGGAAACATTACTCTCAGCAACACCATGTATTGCCAGCCCGAAGAAAAATGATTTTAAGACGTATCTTATGATTTATTGGTCATCTGAGCCATGTGTTGTCTGTTTTGCAATATCCACAGAGGACAACAAGACTATTTTTCTAATGCTTCGGACCGTTGCCAGCGTTACATGGGTCTTGCTAACAAGGGCACTTTCCACATCTGTCCTTAACAGAAAATTGTACAATTAATAGCCCTGAACTTTCAGAAAAAACAAATCTATCCATCATATTTCAGAATTTTCAGAATTCAAAGTACAAAAAAAGGTTTTGCTGGGTATTGGAGGGTGATACCCTAGTATCTAAAGGGTCAGTCCACCTAAAAAATATATTGTGGTAATAAGTGGACATAGGGGGCTCATTCCTTGCCTTCTTATAAATCTTTGATACTCCAACAGTGAGCTCTTCCTGCCATAACAACCATCTTCCTGCCCACCTGAATACTTTGGGTGTTCCTGACACCTTCTGTGTGGTCTGTAATTTCTGTTTCATCCTCCTGTATTGCAATATAAATGCATAATTCAGCAGGGAACATGGGACACACTTGTAATGGCCAGAGTATTTGTGCAGATCCAAGTACTCCTGAGCCCTGGATCCCAACCTACAGCCGAGGGCCACATGGTTGTATGACCCATTATAGACCTCAATGGCTACTAGTGGAAGCATTCATTTGTACAGAGGCTATAAAGACGGTGATCTGTAGCAGTCTTATATAGCAGTCAGCAGTCTCTGACCATCTCCTGTAATGTCTTCAGTCTCTAAACACCCATCTTCCATGTCTTCTGTCACCAACAGTCTTCTGTCATGTACTGTACACTATGTACAGCCCTTTGGAGCTCTCAGGGCCCACAATTGAGGTACCCTACACCTTGTAATTAGAGTAACCACTGCTCTAAAGCAAAAGGGGAAATGTATCTAAATCTGGAGCAGCCGTGCATGGCAACCAATCAGCTTCACTCTTTCATTTTCAAATCTTAACTAAACAAACAGAAGGGAGAGGCTGATTGGTTGCCATGGGCAACTACTCAAGAGTCTGTCTGCTCCAGTTTTGATAAATTCCCCCTTAAATTTCACTGACATAGTCCTTGAGATGTATTAGAAATGGTCATGTGGTTTAACTGTATAGCATCTACAATAGACTGAAATATCAGTTTTGGGTGGATTAATAATAATAACAACGCTGTTATATGATAACAAATAAGGTTTTAGACTGCCATAAAATCTGACCCATTGTGTTTTTTTGTCACAATGACAAAAAACAAGAATATCTACCACTTTTTTCAATACAGGACAATCACTACTAATGTGCATTAGTTGGCAGTAAACCATTAAAAGAACAGAATTCATGTTTTTCCTAATTTACACAAGAATAGGAGAATACTGCAAATTATTCTAATAACTTAAAAGCCTTCTTTTAAAATAAAAATGTACGTTTTTAGAACCAAGAATTGACCTGCATTTGCCCAAACATTTGCTGGGAGCCCCCTAGTGGTGAACAATCATTATAGCTTAATGAAGTCTGTGGCATTTTCATTCCTGTGTATTATTTGTTCCTACAGAGTCCCAAGGAAAGTGATGGCAATCTAATGATATTGAGAACACAAAAAAGTTACCCAGAAGATGGACTGAGGGCTTGTTCACACTGAAAGCGTGTGTGTTCCAGAGCGGTAGCTGCTGGAACGCACCGCAATCGATGAGAAACTTCCCCCCGCGGTTTGGGGCGGGAGGGGGCATGGGGGTGCATTGTATTCAATGGCACCGCTTCCACGCCCCCCCACCTGCAGTGGGATCGAACACGGGGCAAAACTTTGCCAGCATTCCGTTCCACTGCAAACACAAAAAATAGGGCAAGCCTATTTTTTGCGTTTGCAGTGGAACGGAACGCTGGCAAAGTTTTGCCAGGCGTCCGATCGCACTGCGGGCAGGGGGGCGTATCCATTGAATACAATGCACCGCCATGTCCCCTCCCTCCCCGAAATGCAAGGGGAAGTTTCTCAGTGAGCTACCGCTCTGGAACGCACACGCTTTCGGTGTGAACAAAGCCTGAGGGAAGTCCAATTAGTGATATTACACAACATATCCATTGAACTGCATTAGATGTGAGGACGCCGAGGGACATTCCACAGCCGGAGCAAACAGAGGGTGGTGAGAGGTG